TAAAAAACTAGACATACTATCAATGTTAAGAATACAATAAATGTATGTATTTTATAATGTATCGTTATATGATATTATCAGTGGTTTAGGTCTAGAAACTTAACTTTTTGTTTTTTTGTTGACGCGGCCATTTTAGTAGGGATTTAGTTAGCTACCAGATCTAGTAGGAAATATTTATTATGTTTTTTCTTTGCAATAAAATGGCAGAATTATTATAACATTAAAATAACGTAATAGTTTGTGTATAAATCCTTTTATTTTTAATTTATTATTTTATTTAAATTACTACATTATAAGACTTGCGATATAAATGTTGTTATTCATTTATATTATTTATACATTGTCAGTTTTGATATGAATTGAATATTTTTTTAAAAAGTTCAAAGGCTCTCTAATTAAAATGTTGAATTGAGTTCGAATTAACCAGAAAAGATATAAACGTAATCTTCGAGACTCTACTTAAAATAATGTTCAAAGAACAACTAAGCGGAGGAGGAAAACTACAGTGATGTTTTAAAAATATCAGAAAAAGAAAATAATGCGCAAGATTTTACTTTACTGCTAAATGTAAGCATATAAAAGAAATTTTTATAAATAATAGACTGTTATTTATTATAAAACAATAATTTTTATTTGTTTACATTTAACTAATGTGAAGTGTCGTCCAAAGTAAAAATAAATTAATTTATGCACACAGTTTTTCATTACTATAGTAATACATTATTTAATATAAAGTATAGTAATATATTTTTTAATATTAAGTATATATACTTAATAAACTACATATTTATTATATTTATTATGTTTTAAATAGTCGATAATAAGTTTTTAAATTTAATAGTGTTTGTATAAGTCTTTTTATTTTAACTATATCATTTTAGTTAAACTATTACATTAAAAGCTGGCAAGTTTGATTGGCGATAGAAAAAAATGTTTTACGTCTTTCAGATAGATAAGACGAAGAAGAGTTAAACTTATTTTAAATTACCATTTATAATTAAAAACTTCTTTTTTTCCGCCTTGTTCCATACAAATATAAACATCATATAGGTAATAATTATATATTTGCATAAACCTTGTCATTTTGACTTTATCATTTTATTTAAATTACTACATTATAAGTAGAAAAGCTTTACTGGAAATAGAAATGATGTTGTACACCATCCATATAGCTCGGCCAAAAAAGAGGAAATAATCTTATAATTATTATTTATAAATAACGATTTATTCATTGCTACTTTTTTCTATATAAATGTTAACTACATATTTTAAAAAGTAACATTTAAAAAGTTGTGTGTTGATGCGTAATTATAAAGTAAAATAAATAGATACTAGTTATAAGTATACATAATTTAGAAAATAAAGAAAATTAATTAGTATGTATATATTACTTTTATGATGTATTTTCTAGATTGGTAGCAATGATACTAAAACAATAACGAATACCAATATAAATAAGCGAAAACAATAATAAATATCAAAATGTGAATGGAAATTTGTTTGACGATTACCTGGTTCTGCAATATTCATGTTCAATCGCCAAATGGTTTCTGCTACAGTTGGCGGTGCAATTACATTTATAAATGGCTAGATATTTTTTTAGATTGAATATGTTGTATTGATAATTCTTTAACTTGTTGAAGCTTGGTGTTATTTATTATCAAATTTATGTATACTATTTTTATCAAATAGTTTATGTAAAACTATAATAAATTAATAAATATGTAAAATAAAAAAGTTATAAACATGTAAATTATTATATTTTTTGTGAAAATATAATTTTAATCTCTTTAAATTGTTTATCACTGTATGTATATCAATTATAGTAAGATATTTATTATTTATTATTGGTAGCTTTTTGTTTTATTTATTTTCAGTATGCTTATACATCTGCATGCGGAGAAAAAGCGATGTGCTAAATATTATGATTTGTTAGCTCCATCAACATTTTTTTATGAACCACCAACAGAAACTCATCTTATAATTTTTAGATAATAAATTTTCAAAAAAACAGACCCAGCCTCAGTATATACATCATATATATCAGCTTAGTATAAACCTTACATTGCATCCAAAAAAGAACTTTATCTTATATGTAAATTATACGTTGATTTTCTGCTGTAGTTTACCATACAATTGATAACAGTTCCTTCTGTTTTAATTTCAGAGAAAATAATAGATGTCCTTATCTCTATTTTCAAAACCTCAAAATTGGTGACTGTTTTCTGAAGAGTAGCCCATCTTTATGGTCAAATAGTGATTCATTCTGACTAGCTAAAAGAAAGCTTCTTGACACTGAAAGTAGATAATAATAGGGCGGAAAGAGCGAGTCAATTAATGCAAGATTTTCATGGTTTAATCACTGTTGAAGAAAGAAAAAGCAATTTTTAAAACGTTGCGTGCAGTAACACAGAGACGTATATTGTGATTGGTAAAAGAATAAAGAACACTACTCTTTAGAAAAATTTAAAACAGTTTCTAAAAGAATCTTTCTTCAATTAGATTTTAATTCAATAGACTTTGAATTTTTTTTTTTTGATAGGTAATTTTAAAATAGAAAAATCGCATACATTAGCACTAAATATATTTTGTTATATGTATCAAATATATTTGTATTAGTATACAAAACTTTCTTTATTTTTAAATTTTTAATATAATTGTAATTTTATTATTTAACAAAAGTTATGTACTCTTTAACGTTTTTTTGTATATTTTATTCATATTTGTTTAATAACACGGACATTTTGTAAACGGGGCTCGGTGATAAGACAGTCATTGTCTTCTTCTTACTCCATCAAATTTTTATAAATGTAATATGTCTTTATTGTAAATATATGAAACGGCAAAAAAAAAAAAAAAAAAAAAAAAAAAACTTTAAAAAAGGAAATTTAATGAATAATGTTTTTTTTACTAAGAATACATAATAAATATTGTAAAAATGTTTTATTTACTGAATATAAATAATGAACTCTAGAATGCCCCTATAGATCCATAAGAATCCATTTATTACTAAACGTTTCACGGCTAGCACGGATCCTTTAATAGCTACCTAACTGTCCTAAAAACGCCACTTATACGGAAAGTTAGCGTACACATCAAGGTACCGTGTGATGCAAATTTTGAAATCATTTAATTTTGTTCGCGAAAAATAATTTAATTTAAATGTTTAAATTAAGTCAAACTTTGACTTCATAGTGCGCCAATAAAAGCACTTGTAGAATTTGAACCACTCAATAAAATTTGATAAAAACTGGTGCAAATGTAGCCAATAGTCACACAAACTCTGGACAAAATTTCAGCCTGATTGCATGACTAGTGTAGAATTTATTGCAGTTTTAGTTGAAGTTTTGTCATTTTTTTGCTACTTATACCTCAAAGCGTAACCGATTACTTTGAAATTCGGTCACTATTTTTTAAATAACGGTTAAATGAGTGTTCTACTATGTAATACGAATAATTTTTGTTACAATTATTTTTTCGGTACATGTACAGTTTTCATTTCATAGACCAAAATAGTGATTTTCTACTTAAAGCGTGATTTAAATAGTCTTATGCTAATAGTGTCGACACGGCTTTCAAAGTGGAGGGGTTAACCCCTCAATTTTTAAAATAAAATCCATAATTTCTAAAATAACTGCCTATATTTCTAGAAACAAAAGGTCTTTGCAAAAAAAAAGTAGAGTAGGTCATGACATAAGATAGACTGATCATTTACACTAATATCCTGAGTACTATCAAATTAAATTGAAATCAAACCAGCTCTTTTCACTTTTGATACGATGATTGAACGAATCAAGGACTCTAATGCAGTTACAACATGGTTCACTGTTGACTTTGAAAGTAAAGTTGCTTTTCTCCTCTCTTAGCTAGTAGATAATGCCTGCTGCATCTTACTGGATTTGATGACGCCTTCAATAAAGGATTGAAGAAAAGAGTCATACTTCGACAACAGTAACAAGATTTCAAGAAAACTATCATGCTGAAGATTTGTATTCTTCAACATGCTTTGTTTCCATGTGACCTGTAGGACAACCCCTGTTTCCCAATTAACTTCAATCAATCAATAAATTTAAATACGTTAGGAAACAAAGTGGAACTATTGTCTAGGACAGGGCAAAGGCCGAAAAGTTTCCGTTGTATGTATGTAAGTTTGTATGTATATATGTATGTATGTATGTATGTATGTATGTATGTATGTATGTATGTATGTATGTATGTATGTATGTATGTATGTATGTATGTATGTATGTATCTATGTATGTTTGTATGAATGTATGTATGTATGTATGTATGTATGTATGTATGTATGTATGTATGTATGCATGTATGTAAGTACATTCGCACCTTTAGTGAGACATTGCGGTTTTATACTGACCCTTTACGAGGACTTTTTTTTTTGTCGGGACATTTTTAAGTCCCGATAAAAATAACAGCAAAAACTATGTTAATTTGATGTATTTCGATGAGTGGCACTATTCTTTTTTAAGTCTCAATAATGGGGCTTTACACGAACATTCAGCTTACACTAAAAAACTAGAAAACTCACCATTATCGGGACTCTAAAAAAATGTTGTTTTATTTTGCAAATATAATGCCAAATACATTTAGATGCTTAAGATACCGTGTTATATTCTGAGATAGTAGTCCACTATTGCTCCACTATAAAGTTATTAGCTTACACGATTTACATACACGCGCATTTTCTCGCGTTCTTTAAACGCGACTTTTTCTATTGTTTAGAAAATCACATTAAAAAAATTATGACAATTGTAATGCCCTATGACTTTTTTCTCGTATCGAGCGTTTTGTAATTGTTTTATGATTTTAGTTTTTTTTTTTTGAGAGGTTGATAAATTAAAATCATTATAACAAAGTTATTGAATCTTTTTTATTCTTTTTTTAAGATAAAAGTTGGATTTACTCGAAAAACATCTTTTTTCGGTGAATTATTAGAGAAATCTAAAATATGCATAAAAACAAAGTAAATAAATATTTTTTGCTATTTGATATATATTCATTATACAAATATTACACTGATCTTTTTTATACACACTTAAAATTATAATACACTTGAAATAATTATATAAAATTTAATCAACGTTAATAAACCTGATTTCAACATAACTACTTCAAAACACCATTATTTGTATATAAATAAAAACGCATAAATCATCTCTTTCTAATAATATTGTTTAGTTTGTCTTTAACAATCTTATGCCCTCTTCTTCGAAGACAAGGTATACTTTCAATAATTTTTTTAACATCAAGAAGCGGACACGGAATCTTTCTCGCGATATATATCGAAAACGCCTTACGAAGTGATGCGTTTTCTTCTTCCGACCAACCTTTCCAAGTTTTTTTTGACTAAATAAGAACACTAAATAATAAGGGACAACAAAAATTCAAATACTAAAGATTTGTTTATAATTTTGAAACAAATTTTTCTTTTTAAAGAGAAAAGCAAAGTTAATTTAATTTCAAAAGATAACCTCTTTGTGCATGTTTATTCTTTTATTTTGTATTCTTTTACGTTCGACATTAATTAATTCATTTTCAATGACATTGGTATTTTCATCCAAAACATTGCTATTTGCATCTCCAACATCTTCATCTGAATAAGTGCAAACATTAGCACTTTCTCCTGTATTAACATTTGATATCCCTATAACCAATAACGAATAAATGGTTACAACTGCAACAATTTAAAGATTTGAATAAAGGGCATTACCTGTTTTTTAACCATTACATGAATCAACGTTAAACATTTGTTTTAAAATCAAAATTGTTTTAAAACACATTTGTGGGTGCTGTTATACACCTATTTTTCCACACCTGTTTGTCTTAAAAGCTTTATTATTCATTTTATTTATATTTGTAATATAAAACGACACTAAGCAGTTAAAAACAGATTTATAACAAGGATTTTTAGCATTCAAAAAGACTATTTTACAAAACGGGATATTTAAGACAAAACATGAGGTGCCTGCACAAAATTTCACAAAAAATGGTAAAAAGTCACAAAAATTGTAAGTTAATTGCATTTCCACATTCTACTGAAATTTTAAAATCTAAATATTGGACTGAAAAAAAAAAACTTGATGGCTTAAAACTGAAAAAAGAAAATATCAGTTTCTATTGATGCTAAGGGTAGTTTTTCATTACATTCTTAAAATGAGTTTACTCAAACTTAGGGCGTTTTGCAAATGATCACCTTAACTAAATACTTAATACTCACATACTAAAAACTTAATACTCACCTTAACTCACCTATAAAAAATTTTATGACAGGTAACCAACAATTATATGCAGAAAAATAAAGTCAAATAAAAAAAGTTAAGTAAAAAAAACAAACCAATTCCTTCAAAACTATTTTGTAATAGTGAATCGATTTTCTTATTTTGAATGCACCTTGCATCGCCATTATCCATAGCAAGAAGAATTTTTGCTACTTTTGTTAATTCGATAGTAGAATCCTCACGTCGATACCAATTTTGATGAACATCTTTAGTATGCCCCATGTGATTTGTGAGCCACAAAAGCTCAGCATTATTCATGTCTAACAACTGCAGAATGGTTGCCAAATACTTTCTAGTTCTAGTTGGCGTAATAAGCTTTGGCTTCGATAAATTAAGCTTTTTTGTTAAAGATTGTAGCGCGTCCCAACCACGTAGTTTAAAACAGCCTGCACCACGGGCAAACACATAATTATTTTTTTGAGAAATATTAGCATTTTGCCTTGAGCTGATTAATAGTCTGATTGCACCAACAACTTCCTCAGTAAAAATAATCGGAACTAATGCTTTTACAGAAGAACCTAATTTAATAACATATACAGCATGAAAAAAGCATTTAAAATTTTATTTCTGAATACAAAAATTTCTCAATATCTGATAAGAAAAATATATAAAATAAGATGTCATTAAATTTTTAATAAGTGAATAAAAAACAAAATTCCATACCACTCCGTTTTTTTTTGCCTTCAATGTAACATAGTTTAAATCGCTCTGCAAGCTTTTTTTCTATCGGATCATCTAAAGCATCTATGTCAGTTTGGCGTTTCCACCTGCCTTTTTCTACCATATCCCAATCTGCTAATGTCAACTTTCCAGGTTCTCCACCTCGCCTAGCATTAAATGTTAGTATTCTTACATAAGTAAGTTTACACAAATGTATATATTCATTAGATGTAAGAATTGTATTGTTTAAATACTTGCTGATTTCACTAACACAATAATTTCTTAAAACTTTAATGTCACTTTCTTCTGGCAACATATCTGGTGCATTGGCTTTTCGTAAATCATATACACTACGTGCATTGTTTAAAAAAATACTGTAGTCTGATTCCAATAGCTCTAAAAAATTTCGAATGTTTTCAACCATGTCTTGTAATCCTAATTTCAGGTACTCTAATTTGACTATTATAGCTAAAGTTTTTAATGAATATCCTATTCTTAAAACAAGATGAGGATTTCCAATTTTTCTTGGTCCACAATAATCTGCACAAACTTTCATAGAAGAAACAATGTTATCATAGTTTTTTGTATTGACTAAATCTTTGGCAGATGCATCTTCTGCATTAAACTGTTTTCTGTATTGCAACAATAACTTAGCTAAAACTCGAAGTGCATAGCCTACATCATGGTAACGATCTCTTTCTTTTTTACCAACTTCAACTGCTCCATAGGTCAATAATAACTTATCATTGCGAATAACAAGGTGAAGTTTATCATGTTTCATAGTTGTAAGTATATGCTCATGTACAATTTTAGCATTGTCGGTCAAACTGGATTGGCCTACTAATATTCGAGAAGCTTTTATATAACTTATTTCCTTGTTATCACTACCACGCCTAAAACACTTTGAAACATGTTCACAAAGTTTCCTTGCTCTGAAAAAACCATAACAATATTCACAAGGCAATAGCTCATCATCTTTGTTGACTGTACATTTTCTTACAGATGTTATTTTTTTAGAATTTTTAATGTTATTTATATTTACATTAAAATCACCTTTCCTCTCTATATAAGTCCACATATTTCTTCGCTCTTTACTTTTTTTCGGATAACGAAGGGCTTCTATAACAAGTTCTTCTTGCTTATGAATATGTTCTAAATGCCTTGGGATTTTTGAGAGAAGTTTTTCACAATAAAGACAGTAGTGTTTTTTATGCCCATGTTTGTGTCTGGATTCAATAGCTATAACAACAACTATAAACTTTATAAAAAATACTAAATCAAAAACTTATAAATTTAAATACAAAAACTATTACCATTGTTATTGTCAGATAAAATTTCATCATCAGAACTGTGTATCTTGCTTTCAATTAGCTGACTAATTTCTTCTTTGTTACATAATTAAGATAAAAAGAGGATTTAGAACAACAAATTTGAATAAACTTGAAAAAATAAAACAAGTTTTATAATTTATATTATATAACAATATTGACAAAATATAAATATTGACAAAAATACCTTTTCTGATAAGAAATTCATTATTTGGTATACTGAGTAATTCATTATGGATAACATCAATAACATCAGATTGACTTTCCGATTCTGGGGTACCAATATATTTTGGAATATTGAAATCTGAGTCTCTGTCATCTTCACCAGAAGATTCCTTTAAAAATAAATACTATAGTTATATATATATATATATATATATATATATATATATATATATATATATAAAATTTATATAAAATAGTTATACTTACTTCGTTTGAAGAATGAAGTATCTAAATACAATTTGAAAAGTTAACTTAAAGTTAAAAATAGTGCTATAATACATTTTTCAAAAAATTATACATAAAAAAATTTAAGGAATATTGTTTTAATATTTTGTTAAAAAAATTGTAAAAAAGAAAAAGAAAAAAAAAAATCTATATTAAAACAAATTAAATAATCAGTTACAATTTAACCTGTTTTAAAAAAGAATCATCGATCCCACTGTCATCACGTAAAGAGCTATCTAAATCCTAGCAAAAAATATAAAATCTGTTTATTAAAACATATGAATATAGAATTTTTAAATTTTCAGTGGTTAAGTGCTATAAAATACCAACCTATATATGGTATGCTGAACTTGTTTTACAATTACATGTCATTGTTTAAGAATTAAATTGAGTTTCAATAAAAATTTAATATTATCAAATATATATTTGCCACATACTGTCAATTTTGAAGTATTTTGCCTATTTTACTAATTTGTATTTACAAGTAAGTTAATGTAATATTCAAATACATTTGTTCATATCAAAAAACATTCATTTTTTAGAATTAACTAATAAAACTTCATAACTCTCAGTACATTCTTTTACTACCTTATTATATCATTATGCATTTTACAAGTTTTATTTTACCAACAAAAACAACAACAAAAAAACATTTAAAAATCAATTACGCTGCTGAAATCTTGATTTTTTACTTAAAATTAACTTTCTGCTTTGGTTATATGCTGGTAACTTAAGTATCTTTCTTATCTACTTTGTATTTTAAAATCTAAGGCTTACCAGTTCAGGCATTCTGTAGTTTATGCATTTTGACTAAATTACAAAGAAAAGTATTCAAAACAAAATTGAATAAAGTTATTTAGTAATAATTTTAGTTTCCTAAATTTGTAAAAAGTTATTACCATATTCCTCTGTGGATACCGTCTTTTTTTTGAACTAGAATTCTAAATTTATAAAAAGTAATAATTAAGTCCAATGATAATTAGTAAAAAAAACCATTCAAAATTAGAAAATGGTAAAAATTTCAGAATAACTGCAAAATAATTTAACTTAATATACATTTGTTGAAAGAGATTCAATAGAAGTTATTTAAAACAGTACCATAATTTCAGATTTTGATTGCTTTGTAGTTTCTTTTTTAGGTGTGCTTGTGGCTTTGCAAAAATCTAAAGAACAAGAAACACTCTGCTACTCAACAGCTTGCTAAATCATTAAAAAAAAAAGTAATAATAGAAGCATTCATACCTATGATATGAGGCTAAACAAAATAAAAAACATATGATTAATTTTACATTCAAAAGATGAATAAACTGAGAAAAATAGCATAAATAAATACTTCCAAAATGAAAGGGTTTTGAGCAAAAAACAGAGATTCATTAGGCTATTTTATCAAATTAAAAAAGAAAATATTATTTGAAACACAAAAATAACCTACAGGGGTAGAGAAGACTAGATAACTAGTAGGTAATATCTCCACACTGTTCACAAATTCATCATGATCACTTGACTCTACTTCATCAAGAATACCAGAAGACTTTAAAAAAAGCAAACCATAGATTTGTGATACTTTAAATAGATTAAATTAAAAATAAACATAATAAGGAAAAAAAACATAATATCAATAAAATTATTACACACCAATGGTGTGTAATAATTTTATTGATATTATGTTTTTAATAATCTCTGACTTTTTTGTGTCACATAAATCATAGACCTTAAAAAAATTAACAACAAAAGGTTTATATATAAATGTTTCTATCTTTAAAACGTATTAATTATATTGTAAAACTTGAAAGCACCTCAGATGCGGTATCAGATTCTAATTCTCCTAGAGTAAAAGGTTTCAGAAGATGTTTCTAAAATAAAATAAAACATTTGAAACAAATATTCAATATTTACAAAAAAAAACTTTAATCAATAAAACAACTTTTGCTTTATGTAAATTCATACAAGCTTTCGCCACCATAGATTAGGCGCCTTATAGTCATATCTAATTTCAGTGTCTTGTAAAATTGTTGTATGTGCAAAGATACACAAATATGGCTGAAAATCCACCATTATAACTTTAATAATAGCATTTGCACTCTTCATTGGACTATCATTTATATATTTACCAATACATTCAGTGTTAGTTGCATCTATGCTAAATTGAATATATAAATACTTTTTAAATTAAAACAAATCATTAAAAAACTGTAGATACAAGAAAAAATTTTAATTTTAATAAATTATTATACTTACCAATACTTAAGGCGTTCATGTTCAAGAAAAAAAATATAACTTCCTTTGTTTTCTTCATAAATATCTTCTCTTTTTTCCCCCTCTTCTAGAGATATTAATTCACCAAAATAGGCACATATAAATTGACCCTTTTTTAGTGTAACTTCAGTGAAAACACCATACCCTGAAAACAATTCATATAAAAATTTCAACTCACATTAATTTAAAATTAACTATAAATGTATTTACTTAAGACTAACCATTAATAGCATTGATATAGCATTTTTTTAAAAATTCAGGATCCTTTTTTTCTTGACAATATTTATATGCAGTTGGATCGCATTTTAAAGATGGTACGTTGTTTCTAGATGGCTATCTCTTATTTTCCATGTTGTTTTAATATCTTCTAAAAATATTATTTAATTACATTCTTAAAAATATTGCAATTCCTTTTTTTACATTTCACTATTACTGTACAAAACTTCAACAATTTAACATTCATGATGGCATCATTATCAGGACATATAAAAACCTAAATAAAAGTTTGTATTAACTATATTTTGCTTTGCATTAGTCTTTATGTTGTAAAAGGTGAGTAAAATTGTTAAAACTACTTTAGGCTTTACAAAATTAAAATAAATAAAAAAATAAAATAAGAATTTCTTTAATTTTCCAAAAAGTTACAAGCAACAAAATAACTTGTTACTTTGTTAGATTTTATTAATGTAGCTCCATGAAGGTACAATGGTACATTACATTATAGAAATGTTAACATTTCCTCAAAATATTTTGTACTTAAGAAAGATGAAAAAACATATATAAAAACCGAAGCAGTGTACTGAAATTGACTACAAAAAAACAAGTTTAGAATTGTTTAAATCACTTTGCTAACATTTAATATCATTATATATTATTAAATTATGTAGAAATTATAAATTTAGACTATAAAATGCTAACTATGATAGTTAATACTATTATACAATACTAGAACCGTAACCTATGTAAATTATAGATAATACCTATGTAAATTATGGATACTTAAATTATATTAAATAAGGTTAAAAATATTTTATGATACTATTTTAATTTTTTAATAATAGTTTAATGCTTAAAAATATTTTGTAATTAATATAACTTTGCATTTATACTTATAATTCATTATAATATTTACAATTCATTAAATTATTATCATTAATACATATATAATATTTATAATTCATTAAATTGTTATCATTACCATTTTTTACATTATTTATCATT